TTTTCCATCCACAGAATAATATCGTCAGCCATTATCGAAGCACAGACACAAATTACGCGTTGTTTATAAACAGAAAGTAGTTCCAGGAAATATAGACGCGTTTACCAAATATGGTAAACGGGGCCCGGGCGTGATATGGAGAATAATTGCACGGCTTGCGCATCGGGATTCCCATAGCGTTACGAAGCCGGGCAATACGAGGTATATGATAAAGCTTATCTGTTCATCAATAGTACATTTTTTTTTAGTACAGTTTCAATTTTGAACCAAACTTGTTGAATTCGTATTCTCGGCATCCTGGTTTACAAAAAAAAATTATTTTTATTCTCACACTCTGCAAAAAAAGCACTGCAAATTATGTGTCTATTGTGTCACCATTATTTTTAAAACAGTACAACAAACAGACTTGAATGGCAATAATCAGACCCCTTGTTATGACATCCACACTATGCACACTCAGTATCATAGCAACCAGGGAACTGAAAACTTGTCTATAACAACCAACTCTTCATTTAACTTAAATTCATGAATAAATAAAATGTTTGAGTGATACTGATGACAAACTGCTGACGATTACATGCAGGTACACGTACATTATCATACCTAACTCATACTTAATGTTACTATTCATTCAGATATGTGAAAAGCATACAAGACATACAAACAGACACTCAAAACAGGTGTGCTTGCATTTCAAGTCGAGTCCAGTCTAAAATAACTGTACAAGTGATTAACGCTGTAAACCCTACCCATTATGACATCAACATGGAATGCACACAAAGGTTAATTAACAGTGTGATAATTAAACATAGCAGGTGTATAGACACTTTCACCAAGGATGAATTCCACATGAAGTCAGTGTTAATGCACATGAGTCTATAAAGCCCTGCAGGTTGTATAGACACCACAGGTTACAAGGGCCTCACTTAAGGGTTATTTAATTGAAATGTCACAGGCCTTACAATATGCACCTGGCTGTCAGCAGAAAAGTTCCAAATGGAAGCTGGTTACCAGGATTGCTTGCTATGCTGTATGAACAGTCAATTACCTATCGGCAGTCATACAACTTTGCAAAATTTACGTTTGCCAGATGATTTTTGCATTGATTTTTTGCCTAATATGTACCAACTCCAAAGGTCACACATCCCAATACTTGGGTACAGTTGTTCCTTTATTATAATAATTAACCCACAACTTCCATTTTTGAAAAAGTGTTTCTAAACTTTACTGGCAACTATTAATATTTGGGGAAATATATATATATATACATGTATGACATCTTCTGTTTAATAAAAATTACCATGATTTGTCACCTTGGGGGATCTTGCATAAGACCTACTTCTCTGCTAGTTTACCCCTATAGGCACATACTCTGTATAAATTATTTAAACTTTTTTTACTTTGATGACAGCTGTATTGGCTATATGTTTAAATAAATAATGTTCAGCATACGATGTTTAACTATAAACTTTCATTTAAATTGTACTCAGACTAGATTTATTAGCATCTGTAGTCCAGTATACGCAACATGATATAGCAGATACATGTATGTAGGATGCAAAGAGGGACAGATACTAATTATATGTACTGATTTTTTTTAATCAGTTTTATTTTTAGGAAGTTAGTCTAAAAAACAGTGCATTTACCATATTTAGCACTATGAAAATGTGTGAATGGCAGAAGTACACCAGAGTTTTTAAACCTGACAAATACACCATTCAGAATTGGTAAATGTTTTTTTGCTTTTTTCTATTTCAAGTATTACATGTAGACAAATAATTCACACAATCTTCCAACATGATTCCCATTTATCACATACTAGTATTCACCTTGCCAAAAACGCACTATTTTCTCAGTTTTCCAGGAATACACAACTACAAATATGTTATGTACATATATGTGTTGAACAGTTTGATATAGCCCATTTTAGGCCTTTTTACATTGGAGAATGTCTACTGAAAGGTTTTATGAGATCCTCTCACCCCTAAAATGAAAAATATTTTCATATATAAACATTTGTGAATGAATTCACACTTAATTATTTACTGACATATTTTGTTGAGATGTATGCTAACTGAGATGAAGGTCTGGCTGGAACAATAAACAGATTACAATCTTGTCTGGGTAAAACCTGTTATTACATTCTAAATGTCATGTGATCAAAATAAATCAATGTATATTCCAGACATAATCAGATAAAAATAAAAACAGTTTCACCACTATCATTTATCATATTTTAATAATTCGAGAAAACAAAACTTCGTGAAAGTCACATTTAAATATTCACTGCTACACATATTCACAATTACTATCAAAGTCTCTCACGAAAATGTGATTTACCGATATACCATACTTGGGTACCATAACGACGACAAAACAACAGTGTACAAAATGTAATCTCTTGAAAAATTATTTCCATGTATACTGCAGTGAAAAAAATTCAGAATTAAGTTAAAAACTGGAATTTTATTTACTGAAGTTTATTTACTAAAATTGCAACATAACTTTCTCTTATTTGTCTGTATTTTTTTATAATGGTTTGTAAATTTTTAGAACTAAAATAATATACAGGATTTGAATTGAAATTGTTATGACTCACACACAACAGAATATAGCGATATTTTGGGAAAGATTAGTCTAAACAATAGCTGTATTAATTTACATTTTGTAATATAAGCAGTGATAAAATTGCAATGAAATCAAAACTACTCTAGGGGAAAAGCTTAATCAGATGTTTTCCGACAGTAGTTAGTAGCAATATCAGATTTTGGAAAGTACGCAGACGTCGGACTATTCACAGTACAACAGTAAACACTCAGACAAATGCACTGTCTGTAATATGTCTAACCATTGTCAGAACGTCAATAACACCGGCACCACTGGAATTTAGGCACAACATAGCATCGAACGTTACTGAGGAAACGGCTCAGTGTTGACTGATAGGGGTAGTAAAGCAGCTCTGTATGCCACATACCTGTTTATAAGTAGATACCTCGCTTGTCCGCCTGACTCCGGCCGACTGCAGTATGGCTCCCCGTGCTGCCAACGCTGCGGAGAAAACGGGAGCGTAACATGCGTGCCTCTATGCTAAACGTGATAAAATCGACCGAGAGATTGTCACTTTACGTAGTTTACTTACCGAATTGTCTCTCTTAGTTTATTCGTCCATCACTCCAAATTATTTTCCACGAGAACAATCAAGAGACAACAGTAAAGGCGTATGTCCAGCATTTACCGGAAGGGTACGTCGCTAAATAGCAGTATCATAGGGAGTTTACAATGCACGCCCTCTTCGATGACCGTATAAGCTTTGTTTTTTCGATTATGATATCAAGTAAAAATGATGTTTTTCTCGAAATTGTTTTAAATGAAAATGTCCTTTACTAGTAGTGTTAGTCATTAATCATTATTAATTCTTAAAATTTTCCGCTTTCAGTTCATTAGAAACAAATAATTATATTACATCGACAGCTTGTATCCAAACGAAAGATAAATAATATCCGAATTTGAGGGCACACTTTAAGCCGCCAATCTTAAAGGGGAACCGCTCAATCCCTTGGATTGCACCAAAGAATCATGGGACACTATTGTTTATGTTGTTTACAATGTTAATCTATCTTGTTGTTATCCATTGTTATTTTAATCCAGAGAGTAAATTTGTTGTGAGATTAGGCTTAACTGGAAGGTGCCCCTTTAAGTAAAAAAACGTACGTACGTACGTATACTACCAGCAAAGGTCAACACCAAAAATATAATTCACTTGAAAAACAAACTTTACAAGTATACTACTACTAAACATAAGTTAATCAATTTTTTTTATTTAATTTGTATTTTGTTGTTAGGATGTCGACGTAAATATTGTTCTATTGTCATTTCAACATGGAATGAAGTTTAAAGCGGAGGGGTCTCAACTGCGCACGCGCGAGAATTGAGCCCCAAGCGACGACAACAACGCATGCTAAAAACGCAAAGACTCATGGGTAGACGCTTGTTTGTAAACAATTACAATTGTTAACAATTTTGTTAACTTTATTGTTATGATAGCGACTTCACGTTCGCACATTCGGTTCACATGCCGTTAGACTATTGTTTAGAATCAACAACTTGCATGTTTAGGGTGGAGATTATAAACATAGATTACAGGAATTTTATAAATAGGTTGTTTACTTATTGTATTTGGTAGTGGAGACTTCGCAAGGCTTTAACAATAAGACACAACCCTGGTAATCACGTGATCGTGCCAACGACTGCAGCGATTGGCTGGTCGCATGGTTACTCTGCCACGCCTTAGATATTTTATTTTCTATATAGAGTTTGTAAACTTTTGTAAAAGGGGAGGAGAGAACGAGAGAAAGATGCAACGAGGGGTCACCTCGGCT